CGAGATATGGCTAGAAAGTGGCTTCCCTATATTTGTGTGTCATTCGCATGGGCACCAAGCCCTTCATATGTCTCTAGAATGCCATAGATGCGGTCGTTTCCAAAAGGTATGTACTTCGTCAAAAGGTATCTACATCGTACAATAGGACGCCACACATTGGCGTATACATCTGGCATGATTGATGGAGCATCATCACGACAAATTTGAAAAGTTGCAGCACTCGAACCCTGCGCAAAGTGCAAGCTATTAGAATGTAATATTATTCCAATTAAATTATTTAAATCACCAAGCGACCAGGGAAGCCGCAAATTAGCACTTTGACACGCCGTTTGTCATAATAGTCGTGTAGTTGTTCATTAAAAAATATTTTGAATATTTTCGAATTTGCAACATTATGGCCATGCACGTGACCATGGCCGCCGAGGCGAGACCGAGCCCAGATTGAAGTTTTTTTCGGAGGTCTCTTTTATACTCTGGGGTGCTTCCTAAAGGTCTCGAGAGGTCGTACGCAAACAGGCGTGATCAACAAAGGTCGACGCGCTTGCGTGCTCCAAACCTACTGGATCGCCCGAATCGACCAAATCTTTCCTCCAGAGGCCTCATGCGTCGTGGCGGCCGCTTCGGGCGCCACTCGCGCCGCGTTCTTGAACAAGCTGCACCCCAGCATTTGCTGCTGAATACCAAAATGATGTGTCTCTTTCAAATGATGAACGTCCTGCACTATGACTTGTACTTCTTGAACTCCGGGGCCATTTTGAAGGCAGCCTCGGGCTTCGTGGAGGCGGTGATCTTGCCTTGCGCGATGAGGTTGTCAAGCGCTTCTTGAGCCTCGCAGGCGGGCGACCGTCTCCACTGCGGCATGGCAAATTTGAAGTGCCCCCTTCGCTGGAATGTGCGGCTACTAGTAAGGTTACTGTATTTGACGCACGCAGAGCCAATAAATTCTATATTTTTCGTAATTTAAAAAATATTATCCGGAAGACGTTGTCGATATGTCGATCAAATGTCGATCCGATGTCGATCAAATGTCGATCAAATGTCGTTTTCATGTAAACATTCTTCAATTGACGACATATCTCAGACTTTGCTCTGCGATATCTCGCCGTGCATTGCAGCAATACCCATTTCATTGATGCCGTCGCGTAGAGAAAAGTCTAACGTTTCGAACCGTGGTCTAACCTTGTCGATAGCATACTTAGATCAAGAGAACCAGACGTCGATCGATGCAAGTTTTCGCGAAAACGGCCACCTGTCGACGTCTGCTGTTTCCAGACGCGTTTCCTGATCGCCATTCGGCAGTACTACAATGAAAGAACGTGTACGTCTCTATTGGTCGATGGCATTGGAATCTTCTTGCGGTCAATATTGACGGCGCTACCACCACTCAAAGTTGTCCCGAAGTCGATCGACGTCGTCGACAAACGTCGTCGACAAACGTCTCCTGCGAAATCGACAAAACCGGATAAATGCGTATTTTAAAAGAAAAGGTAATAAAAATATTAAAATCCGGATTTTTCCGGGTTTTTCCGGATTTTCCCATTTATCCGGGAGAATTTCCCCGCCATTTCCAAAGTATGGCGTCTATCGACACCTTCTGGACCCTTGGCCTCGCGATTGCCAAGCACGGCCTGAGCCAGAGTACGAACATCGGTATGCGTCGGTTCCGAGGACTCTTTGGTGTCGGTCCCGACGTGTGTCTGAAGCTCTGGGATGCAACGGCCCAAGTCCGCCCCACCGACACGAGCCCGGTCCACCTGCTCTGGATGCTCCTTTTCCTCAAGGGGTATCGGACAGAGGCCGAAACACACGCCTTAATTGGCGCCGACGAAAAGACCCTCCGGAAATGGCTCTGGCCATGGATTGAGACGGTCGCCAAACTCGAGATCGTAAGTCTATACATGCTTGTGCGGGTTTGTTCGACTACTCGAAACATGCCTAGATCGATTGGGAGGCCCGACGAATCGGCGCTCGTCCGGCCGACACCGTTCTTGTGTCTCTCGATGGTACTGATTGTCGGATCTATGAGCCCACGCCTTTCGACAAAAAGTGGTATTCCCACAAGTTTCACGGGCCTGGGGTTCGCTACGAGGTCGGACTGTGCATCGCCACGGGCGACATTGTGTGGGCCTTTGGCGGGGTTCCGTGCGGCGAATGGCCTGATTTGACCTTGGCGCGGCACGCCTTCGTCCACATGCTGGACAGGGGTGAGAAGGCATTGGCGGACAAGGGGTACCGGGACCCCGTCTACTTTCGGTATCCCGACGACGGCGGCCTTCAAACCAACCGCCGCCAAAAAAAGATCATGGCGCGCCACGAAACGGTCAATCGACGGCTCAAGCAGTTTCGCGTGCTTCAGTCACGCTTCCGACATGCTCTCGAGAAACACCCCATTTGCTTCCACGCAGTCGTGAATATCACGCAGCTAGATATCGCCTGTGGCCACAAGCTATTTGGCGTGTAATAAAATAGTCGTCTCTCCTTCCGTCAACGTCGTTTCGTCGAATTCCCGCATCTCCCTGGCTTCGCGACCACCTCCTTCCGGCTTCCGCCATCCATACACCTCGCCTGCGCGACAGCTAAGCCTCGCTGCTGCCGTGAGACACAGCACGCTCAGAGTCGAAAGCCCACTTCCCAAAACAGCTTAGTGTAAATTATACTAGAATTTGAATAGACTCACTTCAACAACATCGAATAACCGACAATTCATGTAGCGTAGTTTAATCAATTTTAATAGATGACCCACTTCAACAGCAACTGGGAACCACTAACTACAGTGTCGTGGAACACGACGCTGCAGTCAGCGTACAATGCTAATAAAATATCAAGGTATCAAGGTCGGAATTGCAATCTCATCCCAAAGTGATCGGTGAGCCTGTCCTTTGTCACGACCCCATCAGGACCATGTCTTTCGCACAACGGCGAATGTCAATTGACTATATCCCATACATACTCATTACATCAACCACGGTATTCACGAGTACGAACGAGCGTGGTGATGTGCTCGTGGAAATTACGGCCGTGTGACCAGACCAAAAGTTCTACTCCGTTGTCGTGGCAACGACCCACCGCTGCACACGACGACGGCTCTGTCGACGCGACCGCTGTACCACTTCGTGGAACCCAGCCGATGTCGACGAAAGTATCTTGGGCTGCCTTCGCTTGTTTGTAAGTGTGGCCTCACTTTGCCATTTTACAAGTGCCGCGACATCAATACATGCGTGAAACGATGACCTCGGAAATCGTGCTCTGGCGCGTCTCGGAGGAGTTTGCGTCGCCAGTTATGGTCGTTGATCCGAAGGACTCGAACCAGTTGGAGAACCGGCTCAAACAGACGCGACGCAAGCGGGTGCTCGTGCTTCTGTTCGGCGTCGTTGTCGTCGTCGGAGCTGCGATCGCAATCGTGCTGTCGTCGTCGAGTCCTGTCGAAGCAAACCAGAAAGCAAGTTTTACGCCATGGCCGTCGACAACTGCGACGAACGAAACCTCGGTGCTAGCGCCGATCGTTACCGATGCGCCGACGCCCGTACCGACCTCGGCAAGGACGCCCGAGCCAACCACACCAACGCTTGCGCCTACCAACACAACACTCTTGCCGTCACCAACAGAATCGGTTACGATCACGTCAGAGCCGACATCAGTCGCCACGCCTTTGCCACTTCCGGCACCGACACCGGCACCAACGCCCGCACCGACCGAGGCGCCAGTCGCGTCGTCCAACAAGGCAAGCTTGCGCTTCGTCAATCGATGCGAAAAGGCATTGAGATTGTCTACTCACTCTGCTTTGAGCACGTCGCGTGCGTCGAAACGTCCCAGTGGCTCTCGAGAAGCGTGACGTGGGACGTCTACGGCCACCAATATCAGTCGTCGACCTTCCGTGTCGGCTGGAGTCCAGAGGCAACACGTCCGTCACAGCTGCCATCCATCGTGATCTCATCGAATCATTTTTGTCTAGTGTTCGAGTCGAGTCGCGGCGGTGGCAAGGTGTGGTATGACATTAGCGCGATACCACCCGGGGTACCTCACTGCAATCTTGCAGCTCCACCCGTCTCACATGATGTACGTACTGTAGTGTGGCAATGGCATGAGCTGGGAAGCGTGCAGCAAGGGTGGTAGTGTCAAAGGCTATAACGTTGCGATCGGTGTCGCGCCGCAGCGCCTCGCCCCGGACGACGGGTACAACTGCCCTCCACTGCTTTGCGTAACCGAGCGGTGCGCGGACGCCTACCTTTTCCCACAGGACGATTACCACACCAAGAGTTGTCACCAAGACGAAGCGCTCGTCGTCACTTTTTGTGCATCGTCGTGAATGCTCATCCCATTGGTGTTCATCGCGTTGTACGAATCTGATTTTAACTGGAATGGCAACATAAGTGGCTCCTAGAACTGCACTAAATGATGACATGGTCGGGACAGAAACGCCGAGTGGCAGACTTTGACATTAGCACCACGTCGCTACGAGCACCTCGTCGATGCTGCAACTCTTGGTCTTGACATTGTCGGACGGAAAGAGATACGCGTCGGGGCACTGCTCCGAGGCACACTGGACGTCCACGCAGTTGTAGCCGGCTTCCGACACAACCCGCGCCGGGCGCACACTCAGCGGTACATTGTAGCCCGCGACGGTGCCGCCTCGACTGCATGCGTCCCAGCTCGTACCATCGCCGCACTACTCGCCACAAGAAACATTCTAGTAACTCGGTCAATCGGGCTATTGTCCGTACCCCCGGTGGAATGACGCTGATGTCGTACCACGTCTTGCCGCCATTGCGCGAGACTTCGAACACTATAGAATCACAGCGTCAGTGCCAAGACTGAGAGATCCACTGAGGCGCACAAGTGGCCTGTGAGCTCGGCCCGACTCGAAACGTCGACGACTGAAACGAGGAGCCAACGACATCAAACGTGCCACCGACACCCACGGTTTGAACGTAGTCGCTTTTGCCGCTCGATGTGACAATGGTGTAGTAGAGGCTGATAATGGTGCCGCAGTTGTTGACGAAATGGATGGATCCTGGGGCCGACGATGGGGCTACAGTAGGCGACACAGTTGGCGTTGGCGTTGGCGTTGGCATTGTTGCTTGGGTCGAAGGCGGCGTCGGTGCCGTAGTCGGTGTTGTGGTAGGCGATGGAGTCGGTGCTGGCGTCGTCGGTGGGCTCGGAGGTGGTGTTGGAGCTGGAGTCGGGGGAACAGTCGGCTCTGGTGTTAGTGAAGACGTCGGGACTGCACTGGGGGCGATCGAGGGGACTGGCGTTGGGTTCGGTGTGAGCGTTGGAGCTGCGTGAGTTATTGACGATGGAGAAGGAGTTCCGGCATCTACCGGCATGGAGATTGGCGCTGGTGTTGGCGCTGGTGTTTGTTCTGTTGTTGACGCGACTGTCGTAGGTGCCACCGTCGTTGGTACAATTGGTGTAGAGGTCGTTGCTGCAATCGTTCCCGTCAACACGGTCCGAGGTGCCTCTGTCGTTGTCGCGGAGGCTTCTGGCACCGGCTCCATGACGCTAGCTGGAGAAGAGGGGGCATTCGTTTCACTTCTCGGCGGCGCCGTGACCAGAACCGGTCCGCTTGTCTGCGGTGGGATGGTCGATGTGGACGACTCGACAGCCGCCGGCGCAAGTGTATTTGTGCCAAAGTTGTTTTCTGCGTCGCCGTTCGAGGTGTACCGTCCGTTGGCCTGCGTGAAAATCACAGCGAGAGAAATTGCGACAATAACCAGCGCCAGCGCGATTAAGCTCAGCACCAGTTTGCGCTTCCGTCGGAGCGCGTGAACACCGTCGTCGACCTTGTCGAGCTCGTCGTGTCGGCTGGAGTCAATGCTTCTCGACGCCGCTGTGCCTTGTGAAGAGAGATGCAGGAGTCGCCATCGGCCACAAGATCGGCGCGGCGGCGACGCTAAGAGCGCAATTGAGTCGGTCGAAAGGCGCGCCGGCGACGACTCGGGCGTGAGCACCACGAGTCGGCTCATGGAAAAATGGCGAGACGCGTGTCTGGAAATAGTCAGCGTCGCGCAGAGATCGACCCGCCTTCTTGATTTGGTGGTTGATACACGTCACTGAAAGAGATGCGTCCATTGCAACACGGGCCGTCGCTGGGTTCGACGAGCGACCTACACTATGAATGGGGTTCTATGTCCCTTTCACCGCAACCGACGATCATGTCGAGGAACCTCCACGCATCCCGCTTCTGCGCAGAAACGATAACGACATACAAATTAAACTGGTGCCACCACAGGAATTCCTCGCGTGAGACCACACGATGAGATGCAGGCTTGAATCAAGGGGCGTTGAGACAGCGTGGACGGCCATGGCCACACATGACTGATTTGTGGCGTGCTTGTATACCTCGGTTTCATGATGGTGCCGCAGTATGGATGCTCCTTATGGATCCGGTGCGACTGGGGTGCACAGTAACCAATCTCTCTACGAAAACGGCCGCGACAAAGCTGCTGCATTCGGTGATTCGATCGCCGAGGATGGCATGCATCAGGATAAAGTCCACTTCGTGTGTGGCTCAGACCTTGTCACATTTCAAACTCAATCTTTGAGGGGTGAATTCGAGGTTGTTTTGCGTTTTTGAGATCGATGCTCGACCCCTAATCGTGGAGCACGCATGACTGCGCAAGCAACAATCGTCAATTCAAGCGCCAACAGTGTTTGTTTCGACTCATTGTATGGAAATGATGCAAAATATCCAACTATCTTGGGCCACTAAATCGTTCTACACCTAACCTTCTACTGCCTATGTATTGTTTTTCATGCTGCACAAAACGTGACCTGGAACGTTGCGCTGGCGTCGACACACGTGTGCACCTTCGTGTTGTCCGCAGGGTACAAGTACGCTTCCTCGCAGCCGTCGGCCAAGCACGTGATCACATCGCACTTGGCGTTGAGTGGCACGACGCGCATGGGCAGATTGAAGCCGACTTTGCCGCTGTGCTTTTTGCAGTTGTCCAGGCCGACGTTGTGGTCGCACTACACGACGGAAATAAGATCCAAGTGCGTACAATAGAGAGATGTACCCCTGGAGGAATGATGCTAATGTCGTACGCGACGCGGCCTGTCTCCATGACCGTGACCTCAAACACTATTTCGCATGGAATAATCCATAAGAGCCATATCCAAAATCCAGTCTCATCCGTACGTGTGGCTTGGTCAAAGCCCGCGTTGGGCGTGTGGTAGCTCGTGCCCGTCTCGTTGGACGCACATCCATACCGGCCCACGTCGAGGTCGCAGAAGCCCCAGCGCTTGACGTCGACCGGTTTCTGGTAAATATGCAGCGGCATGCTGCAGTTGTTGACAAAGTAGTAGCGCGCTCGCTTCCACGGCACGTCTTGGCCGTTGCCGACGCCGTTGCTATGGAGGTCTTCGGTGAGCTCGATCGACTCGAGGACCGCGGTCGGTGCCGGCGTCGGTGTCGGTGTTGGCGCCGGCGTTTCGGGCGCGGCCGCCGCCGACTTGTCCGACGCTTTGTCCGACGTCCCAGAGCCAAAGACGAGGACGCCGGCGACGATCGCAAACACTGCAAAGCACGCAAAGAGCACGAACGGGAGGCGGTACTGCCGCCGTCGGTTCTCACTCGAGTCCTTGACGTCGGGCGTCGGGTACGCCTTGTGGAGCGGCGGCAAGGTCGCCATTTGAAAGAAGGCCGCGATGCTGGACGTGCGGCCACTCGGGCGGCGCAGCGCCGGCGGCGAGAAGAGCCACGTGTCGTTCGACCCGATGGGCTCGAGCGGCTCGGACGTCCGCGGCGTCGGCACGAGGATCGGGAGCGGCGCTGGGAGGCTGCTGCTGCTGCTGCGACTACTGCGGCTCATCGACGACATCATGCGAAGAATTGCGCTCTTGTCGAGTGTACCTCGTTCCCAGGCCGTGTTTCTAGCAACGGCAGTAATCCCATGGCCAGCATTGCGTATTTGAATGTTTGTATGCCCGAGCAGGAGGGGGCGGACCAGCTGGCACGGACTTCAACCTCGCCGACGAGATGACCAGCGTTATCGCCTGCCCGATCATGTCCGCCGCCGACGACGACCGCGCAAGAACGGTAGCGACCGAATACCGACAGCGGCAGTGCGCCCGCCGACGACATCGAGAACGACGATGCACGGACGATGTAGTACACTGTACGTACTGTGGTCGGTGTACGGTAGACACGATGGCCTTTCTGAGTTGTAAAACCTTAGGCAAAAACAGATGCCATGCCATGGACTCATAATGGGATCGACTCCGTCGCCGTGCGTGCGCCAATAGCGATGCTCCATCCACCGTGTCCAGAGGCAAACTACTACGCAAAGCACCATGCCAGAGCAATCGAAGAGCCATAGCTGGCGTCGAGCGCAGCTGTCGGCGGAGACAGTGCAAGGGCGTCGAGGCGTTGGTACAGGCGACAACATTGCATACGCCAGCCTCCTCGCCTTTCGTGTGCATCTGATCGCGGCCACCATGCAGCGCCGAGCGACCAGTGCGCAAACGAATGTCCCGTCCAATAGCCTGGCGCAAGAGCAGCCTTTGCGCGCAATGACTGCTCATCTCACAACGAGTTCGGTAATCAATTCGCCATGGACGACAGGTGGGTCGCACCCAAGCCTGCAATGCATCCAACACCGAAAAGCCCGTGCAGCACACCGGCCCCTTGCTGTAAGTACTACACTTGATATACCTACAAGTATGAACACACCAGGTTCAGGCAGAGCCACCCAAAGCTATGGCTCGATCTGTGATCCACCACAAAGCACCACTAATCAATAGCCTACTTCTGACTTTTGAGCACATCGCGCTTTCTGTACGGGCTTGGGGCGTTGGAGCGCTCTTGGCAGACGATCGAGGCGCATGCTTGAGAGTACCCTGGCTCGCCTAGGTTGTTGTCTTGTCTTGTCTATGCATCGGCGGGACATGCATGCTACATGCACTAGTTCATGAGACTCGTAGTTCCAGCCTTTGCCCTCCCCTCACCGACAACAGACCACGATGTTCGTCGGCCTCGAACGTACTTGGAATACCATTAGTTGAATACGAAAACATACAGGACCGTGCCGAGAACCCATCTGCCAGCACGCGATCGTGGTTTCATCCTCGTGTAACCGATTCTCAATGCCAGCCACCGGCTACGTCGTGCCCGACCTTGATGACGGGCGGCCCGTGCGTCGCAAAGGCAGCAGCAACGCCCACGACCTCGTCGACGAGTCGACGCCGCTGTCGGCCTTGCGCCGCAAGCCGCCGCGTGGTCTTTGGAGTCCGGCCCACCGCTCCAAGTACACCTCATCCATTGTCGGCGTACAGAGGTCTTTCCATGCATAGGCTGGTCGGGGTGTTCATGCTGCTCTGGCTCGTCGGTGTTCTTGTCTACCAACACTGCTACGATATACCGCCAAGAGAAATGCTCGAAGAGGACGACGGGCCAACGGCGCTGCCGATGCCAGTGTTGCGGCCGCCGTTGGCAGCCAAAACACTGGCGGTGTGGACGCTCGACGCAGTACTCGACGCCTATGCGCTGTCGTCGACAGCCTCTGTCGATGATCTCCAGCAGCTCCTGCAGCGCATCCAAGATGACACGGCGCCCACGGTAGCCATTTGCTGCCGTTCCGACTTGACATTGCATGTAGCCCCAAGGAAAGTGGACCCGGTCCGAGGGCGAGAGTATACAGCTTCTCGTGGTCCAGCGCATCGATGCTCTCACGGCGGAGCAGAGCGGAGACAAGCCGGCGGACCCAGAAACGGCGTCAACGGTTGATGACGAGGCGCCGATGGCCATCGATCTGACCTCCAAGCCCTTGACCAACGATGACCCCACGCCGAGTGACGACCCCGCATCGACGCCCCAAGAGACCACAGACGCGCCAACAACGACGATCCATCCGACCACAGAAGCGCCAGAGCCAACGGAGCCCGCAACCGCTGCGCCGACGCTTCGTCCAACGGAAGCACACACACCGACCGAGACACTATCGGCAACAACGCCACCGCCGGCACCGACGGCGTTGGCTACTTCGGTGGCGGCCTCGGTCGGCAGCAGCACATCGACCCCACCACCACAGCCTTCCCTCCGCCGCCCTACACTCGGTATCCCTTGCGAGACGTACAAAGTGGCAACGTAGCACGTAGAGTACCAGAGTGATCTTGTGCTGTGGGTCAAGGCCGACGACGGAGTCCACGTGCCCGACACCACCGCGTGCGCAGCCGACGCCTCGCAGTGTCGTGTTTACGCGTGCGTGCATTCTTCTCCCATTCGACTCCAATAACTCTATTTCTATGGTCGTGCAGATGGCGCAACCAAGCGCCTGGCGGAGACGCCCTCGCCTTTATTCCAATGTCGACAACACCGGCCTCGGTCCGTCCATAGTTGCTATTAGCATCGACCGAGCTTGGTCGTAGATGCTTCCTATTCTCGTTCCTGACGCGATTGGTGACCTCCCAGCGCTCTATTTTACGTGCCCACTGGTTCTGTCACCATCGAAATCGCTGCTTCGCGACAAGTCGACGCTCTTTATCGTCTTGTCTCCTGCGACACTCAGTACAGTACCTCGCAAGGCGTTTGTATCAAGGTATCAAAGGATGTCTAGTCGCACCAAACTTTCTTTGGGCACACGCCGTACGGTCAGTTCCGGCTCCAGCGGCAGCGAGCGAGCTTTTTTGGCGCCGGCGAAGGCGTCGAAGCCGAGGTACCGCCTATTTCCATGCGCTTGATGCACAATATGACACTTTATTACGGTGCTAAGGACAACCAAGGGATTGCGCCAGGCACGTTCTCTCTCCTCGTCTACGCGTTGGACACGACGATGCGCATCAAAGTCAACGGTGCGACTTGCATCTCGAGCGTAGTAAATATCAAGCATTTGGGTAGGACTGCCGTTTGGCTCCGAGACGCAGGACCTCCCCGTGCACATTTCGCCGCTCGACTCGACGATGCTCGGAAGCGCTAAGCGCATCTGCGATGATAGCGCGTTTCATGGTACCACCACGTTTGCAAAACGAACGCCAGCCATTCATCGCATGTAGGCCGCATCGCTGAAGTCCTTTTCTACTCCTCGGTGCTTTCGGCGTCGAATATACACATGGTCGAAGACTATTTGCTTGCAAAGTGGGAGATACCACGAGGTACAGCCATTGATTGGCACCTACAGACGCGATAAGTACTGATGGGACTAGCTACCCAACACCACGCCGTCGACAAGGCGCCGCTCAAGAACGACGATGGCGACGACGAAGACAACCATATCACAAACGACGCGGGCGAGCGTCCCGTGCAACCGAGGGTAACGGCGACCTCGGTGCAACGCAGCGCTCTGCGGCCGGGCGTCGCCGCCGTCGGTGGGTACAATCGCGACGACGTGTTTGTGTGGGTGCCGCCCGCCGAGGACCCGCGCCTTGCCGCCGAGTGGCGTGGCATTGTCGCTGCAAAAATCAAGCTCGTCGAGCGGTTCGAGTTTGGGGGCAAGATTCTACACGAGTACATTGACGAGCTCAAAGAGGAGCTCCACGGCGTGCGCAGCGTCATGTTTCCTTGATTTGATTCGCCAAAAATAGCCGTATTTCTGTGATTTCACCACATACATTTCGTCACTGTCGCCAAGGCCGTAAAGTTGATGGCCTTGCTATGGCCAAGGACGATTATTAATAATGCTTTAGCTATAGTATACGTAGCTAGTTTGTAGTCCAAGTCGATGAACCACCACTCTGTCATCTTGCCGCACACCAGTGTTCCTGTACGAGTAAAACACTTGTCGAGATGGGACTTGTTTGTTTCCTCTCGAGATCGAGAGCAGTTGAGAGCAGTTGAGAGCGGTCTCGGCTCTGCCACGCGGATTTAGATCAATGACAACCACACGGTGCGGAACTGCAACTTCAACGTACCAGCCTTCAAGATCCGATGCCAAGATCCGGTTCTAATGGCTCCCGTTCGACGCGTCGCTTCAGAGACAACGTTCCGCTGCGCCGCCAACGACAACAACGAAATGCACAAATTCCCCTTTTGAGTGCAAGCATGCACGTGTGCCTCTATGGACGGCATGGCGTCGGGGCGATGCGCAGTCAGATCTGTGGGATTCCCCTTGTCGAGGCGAGCACAACTCAACAAGCATCAGTAGTACGACCCCACGTCGACAGCCTGTGCATGGGAAGCTATCGAGAAGTCGTGTCAACGCATTCTTATAGCCTTCGACCCAGATCCGCAAGCAAAGCAGAAATGCAGCTCTTGTTCGAGCTGAGAATAACGGTTGGCGCTCAACGACGAAAGCAGACGTCGGTTCGCACAGGAGGCCCTCCTTTGTGAGTGCCATGGACACGTGGCGTGTTTCCCTCTCGACAAGGCGCGCGATGTTGACGAGTCGGCTGGCAACGACGAGAGGACGACGAGCGCACAAGGCCGCGACGGACTGTTGCATGCACACGACGCGCCTTCGCTCAGTATCTTGCGTGGTAAATTCATTGGCTATGGTCGGCGAACCTCACGAGATGCAGTCGTTTTCCCCGTGCCATGGAAGCGTTCGCAGCGTTTCTTCGACCACGCGACGACGTCATAGAAAGCCCATGGCGCAAAAACAGACTATCACCGCGCAGCTACTTGGCGCAATGGATGGCTGCGACAAGGTCACCCTCATGCGCTCAACAGCACTCCAAGGAATAAAATTCGCGCTGAGACGTTTTATCACCACACGCACCGAGTTGAGCTGTAATTGACACATGCGTTACCCATGCAATGGACAATATGTAGTAGGACCTAGCATCACCCACGCGTGCAGAGCCGCGCTCGCACGCGATGAGAAGCCGTCTTGTATCGTGTAAATTTGGCAAATAAAAACACACCTTTTGGTCGCCGCCTCTATACCGCGCAAGGTACTGCCTCGCCACTGCCAGGCGCACTTCGCAGCGACATACCCTGGAGAAGCAAGGGGCGCCGTTGCGTAGGGTACTCGGAGTGGATGGAGGAATGCTCACAGCCACGTGCACGGGAGAGGCATGGAAAAAAAGATACTTTTTTCCGACGTGAGTCGCGCTGCAAGCCGCAAAGAAAGGGCTGCTTTGGCGCGCCAGCTGGTGGCACAGCTCATTTCTGTTCTCGAAAGAGTCTCTTTCGTGGCTGTCCACTTCTGATAGGGTCGGGGGCCGCGATGATGGCGCCAGTCGTCGCGCTGTCTTGAAGCAAGTCGACCGAGTAGCTTCCTCTTCTACATGTACAATACATATACGTGTCGTCGTTATTGTTGCTCATCGCCTCCTTCCCGTGCACCTGGCACCTTGAATGACCGTTGAAGATACAAGTTGCAACGCTGCTGGCCACAAGATTGCTCGACAGTCCGACATGTCAATTACCACGAGACCAACCAACAGCGCGCTCGACTCGCTGTCGACTCAAAGAACGCTTATTCCAGCGAGCCTGCAGAGTGTATAATCGAGTTATCGCCCGATATTGATGGCGCGTCCAATCAAGCCGTGCACACCAGTGGCAACCGTACGGTTCTGCATCGAGGCGCACGGTGTATAATCTCCATTTCGCGCGTGGATCGGTCCGTCATGGCAAGCTTGCACCATACACTGTAGAAGGCGGCCAGGGCCGCTTGCACCCGCGGTGCCTTCCAATGCACGCCATTATAAAAGGGCTGTCATCTACTAGTACTAGCTAAGAACTCGTCGGCTACTACGTCTACCTCTCGTGACGTGGCGCCATGACGAACAATCCATTTCGTACAGCACCATCGACCAAACCCAAATGGGCTCATCCACCTGCTTCCTGCGATATGGAGACAGTCTCGACAAGTGCATGCATATGGAGACATCTCTGGTAAAGACATGCACCTTTTTCTAACCCATCCACCGCTCCGCAGCATTTAATGATCTTGGTGTTTGTATGCAAAAGGTGCTTGATGGTATTAAAAAGGCTTCTTTGCATCGAGCGGTTTTTGGCCAATCGCGTGACGCCGGCGCAGGCTGATCGATGGCATGTGGCAGTCTTCCATTTCCCATGTCGTCGCCCCCGCGCCCGTCGTCGCCGACGATGCGACCGGTGTACCCGTCGTCGTCGTCGCGCAGCAACTCGGTCGTCCGGCGCAACAGCCACGGCAGCCTCGTCGCGCCCAACATCACATCGACCGCCGGCGTCGAGTACGACTCGATCCGCGTCCTCGACGAGGCCGTCTCGAGCCATGGCACCATCTACTACTCGGTGCACGTCTCGTGCATGGAGAGCCCGCTCGACAACTACACGATTCGCCGGCGCTACAACGACTTCAAGTCGTTCCACGCGACCTTGTCGCGGTACATGCCCACCGCGCCGTTTGGCTTTGTCGCGTTCAAGGCCGCGATCAAGTCGATCGACGAGGACGAACCCGATAGCACCAACACGGCCAACAACAGTACGTTTCTGAAAGACTCTACCGAAGACAGCAGCCACCACGCGACGATGGACGTCGTGTACCTCCCGCCCATGCCCATCGGCGGCCTCCTCGCCATCATGACGTCCAAAGACACGCTCATTCGCAGCCGCATTGCCATGTTCAACCGCATCCTCGAAGCTGCGCTCGAAGACGGCAGCCGACCGGTCGCCGAGGCGCTCCGCAACTTTATCAAGGAGGCGCCGGGCGGCAGCTTGCACCGGACGCTCTCGAGCATGTCCGACTCGACCAACGACAAGAAGCGCACCAAGTCCCGGTCGAGCTCGGCGTCGTCCTATGTCTCGCTGCGCGACTATGCGGCGCCCGAGCTCACGCTGAGCCTCGAGCGCGACGCGAGGCGCCGGACTGCGTCCTTTGGCCGCCAAACCAACCGTCTCTTCCTCGACTGCGCGATCAAGGCGGTTGAAGCAGTCGAGAACGGGTCGGCGCTCCCGCTCTCGTCGTCGTCGTCGTCGACGGCCGCCACGAGCTCGCCGTGCTCGCCGTACGATACGAGCCTTTTGCCACCGACGACGATCTCGGCCGCGCCGCCGTCGATTGCAGCGTCATGATGACCGCCATCTAGCTGCCCTCCACCCCCTCCCCGTCCTCGTAATAATATAGTCGTCGTCCCTGTCCCGTGGTGTCCCCGTGGTGCGCGCTTCGTTGCTCGGACGCCAATCCCGACCGATCCCAAGCCAGTACACGAGGAAACAGGTGGGGCACCAGCTGCCACGACCATACGAAGGCAAGCGTGATCTTTGTTTACCATCTGCCATCAAAGGGTTGAGGTCAACGGCGCGCATGCTTCTTTCGGTCCCGGGACGATGAACGCGAGTACGACCGACGCCGGCGACGACGGTCCGCCGACCGCGACCGGCTGCGCCGTCGACTGCTGCGCCGACGGTCGCGTGACGACGAGCGACGATCCCCGGGCGACACGGACCGGCGATCCCGCGACACCGAAGAGCGACGACCGCGTGGCGATGGCGACCGGCGGTTGCGGGGCGATGGCGACCGGCGGCTACGGGGCGATGGCGACCGACGCGGTTCGGAACGACCCCTGGGCTGCACGGGTGACGGCGACCGGCGGGCGGCGGCTTCTCGCGCTGCCTCCTCGCGCGCAGCGGCCTGGCGTTCGAGGCGGTCGGCGGCGTCTTGCTTGAAGGCCGCTTCGCGCGCTGCCCGTTCGTCTTCTTCCTTTCTACCCATATCAATGCGTCATTAACTAATGGTGATATCGGAGGTACCGAAAGTTTTCTTGGCAAGTCGCAAAAATCTCTTCTTCGTCGATCGCCGAGAGCAATGTAACCTCGACTTGGGTTCGGAGCTTCGTGATCGCCGGATCCGTGTACTCTTCGGCGTCGGCCACCGCCTTCTTGTGGTCGCTCCAGAGGTCGAGCAGCCGCTTGTACTCGAGCCGGCGGTGCATCGCTTTGGGATACCATGCGTCCAACTACCGCCTCCGATCAAGAGAAGATTCAGGGCGCGCAGCCTCCTACCTGCTTTTGGTAGACCGACTCTTGCACGGCCAGCGGAAGCACGTTCAGCACCGTGGTTGTCATCGCCTCGAACGACTCGTTGTCTTGCAGCGTCGCGAGGAATTGCTCAAAACTTGCCTTCTTCTTGGACATCTGCAGCACGGTCTTGCATGTAGCACAGTCGCATCACGGAGATCGCGTACCTGCGACAAGGGCATCGCGAGCAGCGTCGCTTCGACAAAGGAGGCCCACGCCTTGCGCGCCTTCTTGACGTTGCGCTTCATCTCGGTCGCGATCTCGGCTTTGCGGTGCTTTAGAAAGTGCTCGAAAATGGCCCGGCGCTCGTCCATGCTAGCCCAGACAATATAAGTATCATCGATCTCGAGATGGCCACGTACTCGGCGATCGCGCGGAACCGGTCGTCGATGGCGATGCGGGGCAGCGCGCCGTCCCACTTGAAGTGCGGGAGGATGCCCTTCTCGCGGAGCATGGCGCGGAAGGCCTCGATGCGCTCCATGTGCAGCTTCTTCTCTTCGTCCGTCTCGTCTTGGGGCGGCGGCGCAGTGGCCACGACAGGCGCCGGCGGCGGATCCTTGGCGGGCGCTTTGGGCGGTGCAAAGCGCTCCTTGCGACGAACCGCGTCCGCGGCGGCGCGTTCGGCCGCCGCTTCGTTCTCGCGCAAGATGGCGAGCTGCGCGTACGACATCTCGGGCGCGCTGCCCCATTCGTCCGGGCGCTCCCACACGGACGTCCGGCTCGGCAGGTGGAAGTAGTAGAGCGTACCAAAGCCCGCGTCAAAGACGCCCCACTCGCCCGAGAAGGCCAGCGCGGTCTTCATCATGTCGTCCATCTCGCCGAGCTCTTCGCGGACCTCGATGGGCATCTCCCACATGCTCTCGTTGGCCTCGGCGTCGTGGTAGTACTTCCAGCCATCGCCGGCGTCGTGCTCGGACCACTTGCCCCACGTCCGGCCCATGCTCCTAGAATATGGAATCCGCGGCCAGTGATTGGCCCGCCGGCGCAAGGTTGGCGTCAGCGATCTAAAAACACGCAAATTACAGTCCGTCGTGGGGTTGCCGCTGCGCAAATCTTCTTGCATGGCCTCGCCGGCCAGCACACGCACACCTCGAATGTACAGCCATGATATTTTTGGGTTTGACGGCTCTGTCGTGCGCGATGCATTCTACGTCCACTGTGCGCTGGACGCCCTACGGGCGGTGTGCGTTTAGCCAATGTGAACTTTAAAAAGACTTGATTTGTGTATCTATTTTATTCGATATTACAATCCAACGAACGATCCATGTCAACTCGACCCATGCTCAAGCTCGATTGCGTATACCAGTAGAACCCAGGGTCCATAAGCAGGTGCTGGGCCCTTGCTAGTGCGTGAGATGCGGCGCAATGTAGACGTCGACGAGCTCGGACGCGGTCGGGCGCTCGTCCGGGTCAAATTTGAGGCAGGCCATGGCCATGTTGTAGATCCAGTCGGGGCAGCTCGCCGAGAACGTCGGTTGGATCGAGCCTTCGAGGACGCGCGCCATGATGGCCGTGTCCACGAGCGGCATGCCCGTCGTCGGGTTGATCTTGTCGTCGTACGGGATTGCGTGCGTGTCATACTCAGAGAGCAGCATTCCTGCCATGAGCTCTCAGTATCCATCGATATCCATGGATGGGCGTACCGAACGAGTAAATGTCGGCGGCGACCGAGTAGCGGCCGTACATGAGCACCTCGGGCGCCATCCAGCGGAACGTCCCGACGCCGGCGGTCATCGTCGCTTGCACGTCGACGCGGGCAACGCCAAAGTCGGTGAGTTTCGTGCCCTTCTTCGAATCCAGAAGCACATTGCGCGACTTGAGGTCGCGGTGGATGATCGCGTTCGCGTGCAAGTAGGTCATGCCCATGGCGAGCGCCCACAAGCTGCGCGTCTTGGCCACCCAGTTGAACTCGATGGGCGTATGGTAGAGGAGGAACTCGCGCAAGTCGCCTTGGTCCATGTACTCGAGAATGCATTTGAGGTCCGTCGGACGCGTCCACGACGCACCAATCATGCGCACAATGTACGGCGACTCGAGCCTACAACGCCGATTTGAATGCCGGGTCGCACTCGCCACACTACCGTTGCAAGAGCTGGATCTCGTCGACGAACGCTTGCATGTCGTCGGCCGAGTCGCGGTGCACGAAGCGCTTGATCGCGACCGCGTCGCCGCGGTAGTAGCCAAACCAGACGTCGGCCGACGCGCCAGACCCGAGGATACTCTTGAGCTCGAGCGACGAGTCGTCGAGCTTGATGGGCGCAAGCTCGTCGAGACTCCACGAGTGAATCTCTTGCATGGCGGTCGACATGGGCGCGTCCGTGTTGGTATGGAACGCAAACGTCGAGTCGAGCATCGCGCTCTCCTGGCCGTTGTTGTCGTCCGGTGTCTTGGGCGTCGGCGTCGGCGACAAGGACCGACGGCGCTTCATGAGCGCAAAAGCAACAAACCCAATCAGCGCGACGCCACCGACGGAAGCACCGACGGCCAGTCCAACGTCTACAGTATACCATGGGTTCCACGGCACTTGACTGCAAAACAGTGTACCAGAGCCGCTGGCTTTGGTGGACAAAGTGGCCACAGCGACTGCCGGCGGCGCGACGGTCGTGGGCGTGACGCACACCGTGTAGACTTGGCGCGTCACCTCTTGGAAGTGCGGCCATAGCGGCGTGAGGGTGCCACCGGCCGCCGCGCACGCCGACGGGTCCGACATGATCGTCGTGTCGTCGACGGTCGCTTTAAAGTTGTTGGCATCGCGCGGGGCCGTGTTGTTGCGTGTGAGTGTAAAGTTGGCAATCGCCGCGTACGAGTCTCGGCTCAAGTGCATTTTGGTCAAGTGGCAGCCCGCGAGATCGCTACGTCCGTCGTTTGCTTCAGTGAAGAAGGCTCCTCGCGGATCGCTTACATGCGGCGCAGCGTCGCCGAGAGCGTGACGTTCACAAACGTTGTGAGCGCACACGTGTGTTTCAACCCCTTTGGGACCCCGAGGCGCCTACGACAGCGCGTCAGATCGTGCTGACAATGCGATCAAGATTCGCACAAGTGGGCGAGTTTGGTCCAATCCAAATCGACGAGCTGCGTCAGCGCCGGGGAAAAGACACTCCTAGAATGACAAGCGTTGGTATACCGCGATGCATCGTGGCATCTCGTACACGTGCTGGAGGTTGTCGAGCTGCGGAGGCAACGCCGTAAAGTTGAGATCGAGCACGCGCCTATTAGATACGGTCGTAAGCTATCCAACGCCACAAATCTACGTGCATACAGGTGCGTAATGGACGCCGGCAAGTTGGCCGGCCACTGCGTCCAGCCCGACTTTTCAATCCATCTACACACCTCGAGTCCATCTCGTCGTCGAAACTCTACGTACAGCTTTTTCAGCGCGACGGGCCACGCAAAGGCTGCTTCTTGCGGAAACGACGCATACTGCAGCGTCCTACGCAGCATGAGCCATCGTCTCGAGAGATGGAGAGAGCGTATGTTGACGCACAGCTCGGTGAGCTCTTGGGGCAGCACCATCTTGGCTGTCGACACGAGCTCGCTATGGCGCACGACCCTATTAGCTCGAGATGAGATGCACCGCCGCCAATGCTTATTGGTTTCAAACAAGCGCAGGTCGTTGGTGGCGCGGGCAGAGGCGCTGATGTCGCCGATGGCGGTGACGCGGTCGGCGCACGGGACGCGCGTGTTGGCGCCCGACGACTCCCACGGGCTCGGGCAGTCGGACGAGAGCGAGGCGTCGGTGACAGCGCAATGGCTGTCGAGGAGGCAGTAGGACGACGCGCTCCCGCAGTACGGCGACCCAAAGGCAAAGATCTGCCTCGCTGTACGGACACGGGCTCTGCGCGACGGCGGCCGCGAGCGCCGACGCAGCGATGGTGGCGAGAGCATGATACCGACTGCTGCGCATCGGCTGGGTGCACTTGCGACGGTGGTGGACGCTGGGTGGACTTCGAACTTCGGATTGTTACGCGCCTTGCCTTTTCGATGCTTTGCACAGCACTGAGTGGAGCGCCTATTTGTGCACAACAAGAGTGGGCTCGCTGGCCTCTCTCTGGTGACGACAGGAACGTCATGCAACTACTTGATGCTGGCGTGGTCGACACGGCATCGGATTGTTCCAGCACACTCCTGTGCACGCGCTCGGCGTTGATGATTCGTTCTTTCTCAGGTTATGGAATCTAGTAATGCAATTAAGCGTGCGTGGGGATTATTGTGGTCCTCTGCAAGGAAGCTCTGCACGCGTTGCGATCCACGGTTCCACTAGCGGGCTGCATCGCCTTTGCTATTCATACGGCGCCACCGTAGAGTACTGTCCTGTGAGTGTAGTAGGGTTGTCATGCGAGAAAGCTGCGTGGACAACGCCTTGCTGGATCTAAGCCGCCACTTGCAAAGCAAATTCAACTTGGTGCATGCCCACTCTCTTGACCGATCCTGAACCAGAGTTCGCACCCGGGCCCGTCTACGCTTCGAACTTCGATATATTACGACTTGGGATTTGTATCTGTATGCAAAGACACACACCAGGTGGCGACACAACTCGATCGACAAAATGGCCGTCACGTGCGCCGTGGCCGGCGCTGCCGTCTTGAGCTTCGACCACGAGCGCTGCCCCACACCGTACAGCTTGTGCGTGATCGACTACACGTCCGGCAAGGCCACCGAGTCGAAAGGCAGTACGGTGACCGGCATCGACGCCATTGGCAACATCTCGACCGCCGGCATCGATGGCCTGTACGTCGCCGCCGTGTCCACGCTGCCAGCACGCAAATACGATGGGTAGGACGGTCACCGACTCGACGCTGCGAGGAATGAAGTGCGCAGTGTACCCGACTCGGATGCTCACAAGCTTGTAATGTGTCTTTAACGCCCAAACGGATATCAAGCGGTGCTGCACTAGGCAGTTTACCCGCGTCAACTTTACGGCGGCTGAGAACGAGTGGGCCTGGCCGCGCATGCTGCAGACACTGTGCGCTCTCGCTGTGGCGTCGACGACTGATGGGGCTACATGTACTAGGCAGTTGACGTCGACCAATGTGGTGCAGCTGCCACGCAATCTGCCATCCACCATCACGACCTTGTATGCTGGCTTGATACCTCGATAGTTATATATTTCATGGCGTAGGACGGTCGCCGACTCGCCATTGACGGTGCTGCCGTCCCATTTGCTGCCAAACCTCAACGAAGTGTAGTGACGGGTGGAATTGCAAGCGTGACTAAAGTTGGTGCGATGCTAGGGAGCTGCGCAACACGCAGCTGCAGCGTCTTCACGACCAGTCGTGGTCGGCCGTCGCTCGCTTGTACGCCGCCATGTTTTGAGATGCGCTGACCTTGCCACAGGTCTGTGGAAGGCAACGCGCAGCTACGCTCGTGGTCGAACGTCACGCTCTCGTCGAATTTGCTTTTCCTGTGCGACCCAAGGCAATCTCAACGGCGCTCATAGCTCACGATCGCGTTGTAGATCGCTCAAGAACATCCAGCTGCACACGTTCAACGTCGACGAAGCTACGCTTGCCGCCCTCGACAGCCTCGCGAGCAATGGCCGCCTCTTGACGCTCGAGAAAGCAGTCGTTGCCGTCGACTCGGGCGCGTGCCAAGCCAGCGGTGGCGTTGTGACTCCGCTCTGGACGTCTCGGGGTTCGTACTCGGCCTGCGTCCACTACCCAGCGACCCCACCTGCGTCGGCTACCAAAGGTACGGGACGACACTTGCGCATCCCATGGCGAGCGATCTTTCTGGCTAGGCCTTTCGACGTCGGTGGTTGTCGCACTTGTCGTCGGTGGCATCGTTCTGTGTGTTGCCAGTATCGTTGCCGTTGTGTGGATGTACCGTCGTCGTCCGCCGACGCCACCGACGGTGACAGAGTCGAGCCTCGCCGCCGATATGGCTCGGCCTCTCCAGTCCAACCGTGCGCCAACGACAAAGGCCACGATGGCCGAGACCGAGGGCTACCGGACGCTTGCGCTTCTCAACCGTCTGCGCTTGGACGCTTCGAGTCTTGTGCGCGGGCGGCTCGTCGGCGCCGGCGCCCACGCCCACGTCTACCATGGCATGTACAACGCAACACCCGTCGCCATCAAGACCCTTATGACCAGTCGCAAGCACGAGATCGACCGCGTCATCGCCGAGATTGAGCTTCTGGCCACGTACAATTCTTTTTTTGGACAACGCTAGCACGTCATCACGTCATCACGCGATAGGCTCGACTCGCCGTACATTGTGGGTCTCGTGGGTGCCGTGTGGGCCGGCCGGCTCGCGAATCTCGAAATCGTGCTCGAGTACATGGATGGCGGCGACTTGTTTACGTACTTGCGCAGCCATGACACGGTGACATATGCGTGGCCTGCGAAGCGGACGACACTTCTCAGCGTGGCGCGAGGGCTCTTGTACCTGCACGAGCGCAGCATCATCCACCGCGACGTCAAGGCGCGCAATGTGCTTCTGGACGACGAGAAGGGCACGAAGCTCACGGATTTTGGCGTCTCGCGCGTCGACAGCTTGGCCACCATGACGATCGGCGTCGGTACGTACCGGTGGATGGCACCCGAAGTGCTCCAAGAGAACCGGTACTCGGTCGCTGCCGACGTCTACTCGTTTGGTACGACGCTGCTTTCGTCTGTGCAAGGTCGACAATGTTTGTCCAAACTAGGTATCTTGCTCTCGGAAGTCGACACGCATGCCATTCCGTACATGGATATGATCCAGCCCGAGACCGGGAATCCGTTGATGGACACGGCCATCTTGGCACAAGTCGTGCAAGGCCGACTCCGACCGACACTGTCGCCGACGTGCCCAGAGGATATCGCCGCGCTCGCCCAGCGCTGCTTGGCGTTCGACCCGATGGAGCGACCGACGGCAGCGGATGTGCTCGCGGCGCTGAATGCTGCAACGCTACCTGCTTCCATATAAACTGCGCGAGGCCAACATGCTTTTGTGCTTTGTCTCGCTCTTGTAGTGCAGAAGATTGTACATCCCGTGTTCATTCCGTTGTACAATATTATTTGTACCGGTAGTCGAGAAGCCGCCACGACAGGATATTTTATTTCCCACGCTACATTCGGCTATTATCTACTTGGTTGCACTATGCATTAAAATATGCTTTTAAAATGGTTTGATTGGATGAATATTCAACTACTTTCAACCAATCCCAGGCGTCTCGATGCGCTCAACGAGCGTCGCTCGCGTTCCCAGGCCGCGAGGTCGACCGAAACACGATCGAAAAAAAATCGCTGAAACTTGGCACAGCGATAGAGTACACTCTGGGCAGTACGAAACGCTACATCTCGTCGACGTTCGAGCCCTACTGCGTGAGAAATCGACCCAACCGTTCAATGTGGCATTTGCCACCTATGACCACGTTTACGGCATATGCCGTAAATACCAGGTAGTTTCGGCACTCGTATCCGGACATGCCGAATTTACCCTCCACGGTCCACATTTCCGAGATCATGGGCTCGCCGACGACTGCCGTGTGTACGCCCGCCGAGGTGCGGACGTCCTGCGCCGCCGCCATGGCCGCCGCCACGCACGTCAAGGTCCTCGACGAGAAGATCGCAACGTTCGCCTCGACGATCGACATGGCGCAGTTCGCCGAGCTCTCGGGCGCCGTGCGCTACCCGCTTTCCTTCAAGTCCGTCGCAGATGAGCTCAACTTTATGGGTACGCCAGCCTCTCTACGCACTAGCGCCATCTCATGGCGGCATGGGTAGGCCTCGTCAACGTCCTTAACTTTGGCAGCGGCTATCGCCAACCTTTGCACGCCATTACGGACCGCGTACGTGCGCCATCATCGTGCTTGCTCAATGGCTGACCATGCTCGATGCTTCTAGGGCGCCCACGAGACGATGGTAGCAACCGTCTCGATAGGTGGCGATTGCAGCATGGGCTAACGCGCAAGGATATGCGTAGACGTTTGGCGCGATTGGGCTCTTCATCTCGGAGCCGCGCCTCGATGCCAAGTTCCTCCGTGGCCTCTCGCTCGAGAGCGTGGCCTCGTACTTTTCGCTGCCGACCGAGCGTGACGAGCAGCTCTCGCCGGGCATCTACATTGCCAAGCCGGGTCCGCTCAAGCCGTTGGCCGAGAGCATCCGCAAGGTACACATCCATCACTCGCATGTGCCATATCCTTTCTATGGATCGCAGGTCTTGAACGACACGGGTCGTATTCTTCTCGAGCTCGGATTTGCCGACTTTGGCGCGTTTCTGCTTGCGCATGTGCAAAAGGGCATCTCGGCGTCGCAGCTCGTCGAGCTTCTGGCGACGACGTTCCCGGCCTTCCACGACGTGAGCCCCGACGGCAGCGTCGTTCTGCTCAAGAAGGCCCAGTGCTTTGTCGCGAGCCTCTACCGCCGCTTTCACGTACGCCTCATCGATCATATCCTGCATCAGAACGTGCGATATAGGAAGAGGATGCCTCGTTTTGCTTTGACGACATTGCGAGCTTGACCGCGTTCAGCGACAATGTGCTGCCGTGTGTGCTCCATGCCATGGGCATACTCGAGGTATCTACGGCGTGACGATGCGGTGCACGAGCATGATGAACATCGCATCGACCTAGTACACGTCCGAGCTCGATGACATGATTGAAAAGGGCACGCTGCTGCCCCACGGTACGCTTGCCGATGCAATCACTGCGTTGCAGAGTGCGGACTAGGCGGCGTTGAAACCGAGCTCCGCGCGGCTGCGGTTGTCGCCTGCGAGAAGATTGTGGCGGCCACCGGCCTCGACATGATTGCGCTCGACTCGTTCCTCTGGCGTCTTGGTACGAGACGTCCTCCTTGTACATGAACGACGAGACGACAGTGTCTACCTCGTAGGCAAGGAGCCGGCGTACCGCAGCAAGCCGCGCCATGCGACCCAAGACACCGTCTACTACTAACAAGCGAGCATATGAAGACGAGCGCAAGCTCCAATATAGGTTTTGAAATACGGAAGTACGTACGTGTTTCTTTGGCGCCTCCGTTGGTAGAACGGTCGCAACAAGGCTCTTGTGCAAGACGTGCGGAAAGCCACACGGCTGTGGTGTCTTGCTTGCGGGCGCCAATGTCGACTTGCAAGCCGTTGCGTCGGTAAAGTCAACCGAGCAAGCTCATCCGATTGGAGGAGGGACAAGAAGGGCAAACGCAGCTGCCCGTGACCCTCCCAGTCACGACACACGTGCTTCTATGCGCACATGCCATCGGCTTCCGGGTCGGTTGCTGGTGGACTACTAGTACGACCAAACGAACGACGACGCGACTCGTTTAGAGTCGAAAGTTTAGATGCACCGGAGACTATGTAATGATAGAAATACGAATCGACAGTATTGTGCAATAAGAACTAGATGTACGAATTTGTCATCGCACGCGAAGACATGTCGTCGTCGAACCCAAGGATTTCTTCTGGCATCGCGCCGGCGCCACAAGAATCCAGCTTCAAGTTCTTTCGACATAAATACTGTACGTATACACTATATACCGTAGGATAGCTCGCATCGCCGCGCGAATGGAGCACCACGGGTCGTGTCCAGCGCCTGCGTCATTAGCTGCTACACAGTTGCGATTGCACTGTCATCCACGTACGCGATCTTGCGTCGCTATCGATGACACGTGCACGCCGCTGCCGTTCTGATATAACACTATAGATGGTTCTACACACTATTTCACATGAAAGATCCGTGTCATCGTGGAGCCAGAGACTCGACAAATCGCCAGCATGGCCGACCGTGGCCAGCTCCAGCATGCGCGGACCATCTTGATCAAGGTCGGTACCGAGGTCGTTAACTCGCCCGACGGGCTCCTCGCGCTCGGCAAGATGGGCTCGATCGTCGAGCAGATCGCGCGGCTCCACATGCAGGGCAAGCACATCATCCTCGTCTCGAGCGGCGCCGTCGCCATCGGCAAGATGGTGCTGCGCCGCCAGCACATGCTCTCGGGTTCTATGCAGGTCGCCTCTTTATGGCTACAATCGACGTCTTGGGCTCATCCTCCTTTGTCTGGCGTAGGCGCATCTCAAGGGCCGCCTCGGCACCGCCGCCGCCCTCAACCCCAAGGCCTGCGCCGCCGCCGGTACAACGTTCTCGCCGGCGCGTATGGCTTCTTGACGACGCTGCTGTATGTAGGCCAGAGCGGGATGCAGTCGCTCTACGAAGTGCTCTTCTCGCAGTACCATCTCGCGTGCTCGCAGATTCTGACGTCCGACACGGACTTTCGCGTGCCCCAGGTACATTCCATCGTCGTCGCCCTCTCTGCAGGTCGCTCATGCGACGTAGATTCGAGCCAACGTCAAGGAAACCATTCTGGCGCTGCTTAAAGTGGGCATCATCCCTGTCGTCAACGAGAACGACGTCGTCTCCCAGCGCCAAGTGCCCCTCACCGACGCCGACGTATGTAGACACTGCTTACCTCAAAGCTCTAGCGCGGACGAAATTGTCATCTAGGAGCGGATCGCTTGGGACAATGACTCGCTCGCATCCCTTGTGGCGCAGGAAGTCGGCGTCGACTGCATGATTGTCCTCACCGACACCGTCGGTCTTTACGGTGCTTTCATTTTTTGCAAAATCAATCTCAATCTCAACCGGTAGTATAGATCCATCGACCAAGGCGCTCGTGCACGAGTATGCGTCCAAGCAGCCGTGGATGTTCGCGCCGAGCTCGCGCGTCGGACCGCTCGGACAGCAAGACAAGGTCCTCGCGTGCGTCACGGCCGTCAACTCGGGTCTGGTCCAGGTACAGACAGTGCCCTTTTCTAAAGATTCGTTGGCGAGATACGCATCGGGTTGTGGTGTAGGCTGCTGTCCTGGCGCCAGCAGCTCCCGGCAGCATCGTCGATGTCGTTGACGGCAAGACGATCGGTACGCTCTTTAGCGCGTCGCCCGGCTCGCTCCTCGAGCTCGACGTGGGTTCGAGCAAGCTGTAGCTGCCCTCTTTCGACCACACCGCTGTCACGTGCAGTTTTTAAATACATAAGAATACAACTTGTCTGCAAGAGAAATGAAACTATTTCGTGACCATGAATGGCACCACTTTAATCGAATCCAAAAGGCGCGCCAGGAATTTGTAGCCAGGGACACAGTTTTCACACGACCCCATGAGTTGCCAGTTGTCGGCTTCAAGAAGGATGAGGTAGCCGTCACCCAATGTATTGAAGGGGTCGTCGGAGCTGGGGTCGTTGGCGTTGAATTGGCCAATGGTCCATCGGTCGCAAGCTCTCGGTGGTAGAATTCTAGCTCAAGCGATGGTAGAATTATAGCTCAAGGGTCAACTAATAGTGTAATTAATCGCTTGATGCGTACGAGTAGCCGCAAGCCTATGGCGCCTGCAGGAATCATACCAGCACTGATAGAGCTTTTTTCAAGCCATCGCACAACAATGCTGATCCAGTGGTGGCGAAATGGGTCCTTAGGAATTGTAGCACCCTGCAAGAGTAGGCTCTGATAGCAAGCACTGATAGCAAGCACTGATCGTCCGCACTGATAGCACTTGGACTGAGGACATCCATATGCACGTGCATTCATGGTCATCGTACTCTCGTACTAGTAACTATCATTCGAAGCTATTAGCGTCACAATGATTGCGGTTACAGGTCTTGATGTATGGATTCATTCACTGCTGCATGAGAGACGAACAGGACACGGGTCCATCCCAGGTGGGTCCTCAGAGCGATTCCAAATTTTGAAGCCATATTTTCTTGCACCCACACACATTGCCCACTCGCTGTGTACTTTGTTTCGCGGACAAGTACTGCACAGTCCCTTTTTTCAACTGCCCGTCAGATATCGGGTCATTGCCCAATTCGACTCGAAACATGAAGCTCACTTACATTCTGCTCGGTCTTCTGGCGTCGGTCGTCACGACTGGTACAGCAGCGAACGCTTGCGGCGAGGCTCCCGTGCCGACAACGCCAACGCCAACGACCCTGACACCAACGAGCCCCTCACCCATCAGCCCTGAGCCCACAAGCCCCGAGCCGACGACGCCAACGCCCACAAGCCCCGAGCCGACGACGCCAACGCCCACAAGCCCCGAGCCGACGACGCCAACGCCCACAAGCCCCGAGCCGACGACACCAACGCCGCCGACTCCCACACCGACGCCATTCTCACTCTGCAA